GTTTCCGGTGGTGTCGTTGACTATTTCTCCGTCTTCGACCTCTACTTCCTTGAAGCCGGTTGTGCTGTCCCAGTCCTCCACCAGTCTGGTTGAAGTTCCTGGGGTCCGTGGCTGGGTCGAGGCTGCCGCCTCAGCGACGTTGACGGTCGGTGCCTGAGGTGAGCTGACACTCGATCGCGTCAGCCTCCGACGCAGGGACAGCGCCCGACGAACGGCCAGCCTTTAGGAGCCTGTTGTCGGTGATCTTCGGCTTGGTTGTCTCGACCCGATGAACTGTGGCCACCACAGTTTGGGTTTTCGGACTGACTTGTTGAGAGCCAGTGTCAGGTGTGTGCGGAGCCTGGTTGCCTTGAGAGCTGGCCCTCATCAAGTTGAGCATTTCGCTCAGCAGCTCGTTGGTGACGTCCTGTCCGCTTTTCAGTTCGTCGAGTTTTTTCTCGTTGCACGAGCCTTGTGTGAGCAGCCTGTCGATGCTGAAGACTGCATCAGCAGTCTTGGACACCGAGGGTCTCGCCTTTGATCTCAAAGCCAGATGTTTGTTGGAGCCTTTTCCGCCCAGGGCGTACTCGAGCCAACCCAGGTTGACATCTGGTAATACTCCTTTATCTGAAAAGAAAAGAAAAGATTAAGCCTGAAGCCCCAAACAATTGTTCAATTGTTGTAAGTTGGAGGTTTTAGTGCTACTAAACAAGTTGCAGATAACTGCACTCTTGTTTGTAACGGCTAAGTTTCCAGCTCTTCCGATAACTTCCGAGCTTTTCACTTAGCCGTAGTCGAGTACCGTGTCATTACATGATAACATTTTTCTGATGATAGGCAAACGACCCTCAGCAACTGTGCCTTGTACCATGGGTACAGCCTGAACATCCAGCATAGCAGGATGCCAGTGCGCACTGTAGCCTGTCGAAAAGGCAGTTCGAGTGACTGACCTTTCCTTGAGCCTTAAGCCTCAGACACTACATATTTATAGACACATGTACTCACCTACGGTGATGCTTTCATGATTAGAAAACATCAATATGTAGCCTGAGGGTGAGCCTGAGTAGTTAGTGATATAGACGCCTTCTTGGGGAAATTGGTTGTCCAAATCGTATTTTCCCCAGAGTATCTCCTTTATTTCCTGTAGCCTGGGAGCTGTAATGATTTTATTAAATCAGAGAAAAATATATAGTCTTTGGAGCCGAAAAATAAATAATTCAGATTTATATTTATGAACAAATTAGATTTAATTTGTTAAAATCTAGTGAAAATTAACTTTTTAACAATCAATTTTACTTTTGGTAAAAGCCGAAAAGTAAATTAATTCAGTGAAAAGATAAAGTCAAACGACAAAGAGAATGCTTGAAAGGTGAGTCGATTACCCATACACGCATATCTTGTTTCCGTTTGCTAGTCTGTTTTGCGCGCTATTTTTGTCTGTTGCAACAAGTCGCTGGCGCAAACAGGTTGTTGCCTGTACTACACGCGCGTGCCTGCATGCCCCGAACAACAACAAAAAATGTATGAAAATCTTAGCCTTTTTCTTTTATTTAAGACGCCCGATTTAATTGCGGCACTCCCGAATGATAGACTACTAGACGATTAGTTAAAACGTTAAAAGAAGGCGGTTATTTCGGTGTGAGTCTCGCGCGCACTTTCGCCGTTTTAGTTAAATCATTTTGTAATGTAGTACTTACGTAGTTCCGGTGTGTTGTCACCAATACCTGCAGATTTTGAAAAACCAGCCTCCATCTTGCTTGAAATTAGTAAAGCCTTTGTTCAGAAGAAACTCGTCGCAGCGTGCCGACAAATGAAAAAAATGACAAACACTTTTAGCCTGAATAACACTCGCGCAACGGAAGCGTGCTGGGCCCATAACCTGATGGGATAATGGGTAGGCAAGGCAGCAGCAAATAAATATGCAGAGTTGAGAGTAAAGAAGAACAGTTTATTGAACACCGTGAGAGAGCCTCGAGAAATACGTCCGCACGGCAGCGAGTCTGAGCACGCAGTGAGTTCGCTCGGCGCGGGCATGGGTCGGCGCCACTACGCAGCGCGGCACGCAAGCCACACACACATAGGAGACGCACTATCACATATATAATCCCAACAATTTCCGATAAGAAGAAGACTGAAAAAGTCCTCCTGGGCGTCTTGGCAAACTATCCCTCCACCCCATTAAATAACCGCTGAACGTAGGCTTTTATTATCTTTTGTTATACGATCAAATTATCATGAAATAATATAAATTATTTCGCAAGTGGGTAGTCTCACAACCCACCATGACAGCTACTTAGAAATTCTATTTTTCAAATGGCATTTCTTGCAATGTTATGTTTAATTATTTTAATTTACCATATTTGACTGGAAATTCATGTTGTAATATTTGTTTCTACTCATTATGCGTGTAAATTTGTGTCCTCAATCTCTTTTTCCTAGCCTTAATTCGTATAGAATATGAATATCAACTTATTATTATCATCTTATAATATTATTTATTTAATGTAAGATTTGTGATTCTATTAATTTTGTTTAGCTTTCTTCCCACATTTTTTAGGATTTGATATTTACACATTAATGTATATAGTTCTTTCACTATAAGATTTATATCCATTAAGATAGTTCATAAGTTATACGAAAGTTAAGAGAATTGTCTGATTCTTTGATATGTTAAAGTTGAATGTATTCTGGATTAGCATGAATTTTTTCAATATTTTTTTCCATGCTAATTTTGGATAAACAATTATGCAAAAGTTCATCTCTTATACATACGCTCTTATGGAGCGGACAAGCACGAATGAATTACGAATTTTTTTCATGTGGAAAAAGTTAAGAGAAAATTTAAGATTTCTTCTAGAATTATAGTAAATTATCTCAGCAACCATTTAATATTTTTTTTACATAGATTTCCATGAGTTTTACAGAGAAATAAACACTTAAACTAGGATTTTGCAAGATTTTTTTGAAATCATCTGATGCTTCGTAAGAAATGCGACAACGTCGCGTTGGGCCGTTGGCCTTTGTATACATATCCCTAACCTTATATTTGTGTACGTGCTTGTAGCTCATAGCTGCTCATAGCTCATAATTATTCATCGTTGAATTATCTAAATGGTTTTTATCATGTTTGCAATATGGAATTACAATAAAAAATATGATTTCGAAATTCTATGGTTTATAAATTAAGTTATTATAATTAAGTTATTGAGATTTTGATTGTGCTCTGTGTCTAAGTCACTTGAAAAAATCGAATATTGAATTTTTATGTGGTATAAATGTTAAACGTTAAGGTGTAAAATTGTTTAAAAAATAATTGTGGAAAGAATTGCCTTACTTGAATATATTTATTATTAAAATTATTTACAATGTGATAGTGATGCATTTAAGTGATCTAAAACTTTTTGAATAGGTTTCTGGGCTTTCATTATTGTACATTTTCCAGCAACTTTATTTTGTAATAATTCTATAGTTCCTTAATCTCCTTTGGTTCTAAATGTTTCAATGAGCTTATCATAAGAAATGCCGTAGCTTGCTAATTTTTTTTGCATGGATGCACTCAAAACTCCTTTCAATGGTGCAAAAGAGGGCAATAATTTTTTAGTGTTTTGCGTATTTTCCATTTGATTTAAGACATCATAAATTGTTGTAGTGTTATTAATGAAATCATTAGAGCTAAAATTGTCAAAGCAAAGGTTTTCTAACAATGAAACATCAAATGCAGCATCGTGTGCTCCATCACATTTAAGGTTTTGCTCACTGGCTAGGGTAGTAGCCAGTTTTCTTTTTTGAAAATTTGCTTTTGAACATTGATAATGTATCGCAAAATCCATAAATATACTCTTCATAGAGTTCAAGCAGAGATAATTTTTTAATCATAGTTAATAGTCTTGTGGAATCAAAATTGCAGTTATGCGCAACAAGAATGCACTTTTTTTTAAATATACCTAAATATTCTATAATTTTATTGCTAGCTGCTTGCTTTGAAAGAGTTAAAACTTCTTTTCCATGCTGAAAAAGTTTCTTGTGAATTCTACTGAAACCATTAACTTTAGTGACTTGTGGTTGGATGGATTGCGTTGGTGAAATATATATATTTATGCAAGAGTGGTCAGCCTCCGTGCGCCTTGGGCTGGTCTCTGCTAATTTTTTGGGTTTTTTCTCAGTAAAGAAAACCGGCGCTGACTTTCACAGGCCGAAGTTCGCTCTGGTTGGGGAAGGTTGATACAAAGAATCGGACACTTTAATTCAATTATACTACATATGGCGATCTCATTTATTGACGCCTTTTCACAAATATCGCTACAAGATTAACTTCGCCGTGGCGAGCGCGCTCGCTCAACCTTTCCGGGATCAGAGTTCGCGGGATCACGCGAGCGAGATCGCTCAGCGTGCGCGATAAAATCAAAATACGCTAATGTCCGTAATCGAGCGAGAGCTGGCGCGAGAGAGATAAACTGGCTTTGGACCCACCGGATGCCGACGGTCCGTCGACAGAGAGGCAACGCCGGCGAAAACGTAGACCCGCAGGGAATGGCGCCCTGGCGACGATTGAGGTTGCTGCAGGAAGGGCCGCAGCACGGTCTTTGCCTCATAGACGGCGAATGGTCGCTACGTCTACTGGCTCTCCTTCAAACGACTTGCTCCCTGGCAATCGTGGCAGTTGCAACGCTGACAGTCGTTCCCTTCCGGCCGAAATATCGTCTCGTCCAGTCTTCTCTCTAGGCGGCCCTAATTACTTGAGAGCTCGCGCCTAACTGCCCTTCCTCTCTCTTAATTTCTAAGCCTCACGCCGCTACGCTCCCACTTCTCTCGCCGTCAAAAATCAGTCAAAATCGCTCTCTCTCTCTCTCTCTCTCTCTCGCTCTTCTCGCTCTCACTCGCACTCACGGCGACACCTCGTCGATCGTCGCGCTCCTCTCTCCAGATCCTGCAACGACACAAGTATGTAGTCGCTATATAGTATACACTTGGTCGCTGCGTTCACGCGAGGAAAGTGCCGCACACAGGGCTAGCGAACATCGCTATAACCCTGTCACATTTAGAATATACTTATGACACTTCATTGATATTTGCAAAATATCATAGTTGGATTTGAGACTACTAGTCTCCAAATCAAAAAATATAACAGCTAAATTAGGATTATCGAATTTGTATGGAGTGTTTAAATCCAATACAGTTATGCATTTAGGCTGCTTTTTGTCAATAAGGTTCATCTCACTTTTATAAGTATAATCGTCTGAACGCTCTTTTCTATTTCTCAATTGTGACTTTTTAATCTTATTCTCTAATCTTTGTTTTTTAAACTCCGGACGACTAGATTTATTCCTTATTCTCATTACTTTTTTCTCATAATCTTCTGCATGTTTTTCTAATTTTTGTTTATTGACAATCATATCTAAGGTATCCATGCTCTTGACCAAATATTTTTTTCCAATATTTTTTTGGGCTTTAGTAACACTAAATCTATAATCACAAGATTCTGACGTACTATACGAATTGCCTTTTGGTGCTTTAGAGCACATTGAGTGGTTGAGACTTTCATTGGCTTGGCTACTGGCAGCACTGACAAACTTATACTCATCATCAACCAGTTCATTGAAGAAATTTTTGAGTGCGTCGTACAAATCAACATTGTACAATCGAATCCCATTTTCAGAATCATCCCTACACCATGAACCACAATTTTCATGATGGTCGAATAAGTGTTCTGGTATATTTCTAATTGCTTTTTGAATATTCAAAATATCACCTTTATCCTGATGAACGGCAAAAGCAAAGCAACGTTGTATGTACTTTATGATATCATTCGACAGTTCTTTCTCTGGGTCATTTACTTTTTTAATCTCATGAAGTGCACCACCAACATTCTTTGTTGAATGGTTCATGTCAAATTGCTTAACTATTTTATGATTGCTGGCATTTTGGATTGCTGAAATCGATGAACTGTCATTATCGCCAATGAATACCCCGACTTGTACGTTTGCTTCTTTCAGAATCTGACTTTTGGTTACTAATTCAACTGCACGATCAGCTTCCATAGCCTTAGCTGATCCTTCTAAATTTAATCTACAGTCGTGTTAGGTCTATCAGCGAGCCTATAAGCAGAGAGAGTCGCGTCCGCGGGTACGCGCATATGTGTGTGGTCGCGCTGCCGAAAAGGGCGATAAAGGAGTGGGGATGCCTCCCGCGGCAATTGACTGGCGGACGTAACACGGGCGACACGTGTTTGAACGCGCGTTGAAGAACAGGCCTCTCCCTTTTTTTTTTCTTTGCTCGGGCAGTTGCCGTGGTCTAGCGTTCCTCGACTTCCTTTTCCTTACTGAAGTATTCGGACTTTCGACCTGGCATTGCCTTAAATTGTTGCGAGTGCGTGCAGTGGTGCGGCGAGTTGACAGGGTGGTGTGCGTGTGCAGAACCTAGTGCTAGGCAGTCCTACGCTTTTTCACCACTGCAACCGGCGTCCGGGAACGCCGTTCAGCGAGCGAGCGCTTATTGTACAAAGGGCCTGGCCATTGTCGTCACATTGTAAGTACCGACTCGTTTAGCTCTCTCTTGCTGGCTTGCCGCTTCTCTCTCTCTCTCTCTCTCTCTCTCTCCTTGCCGATCTGCTACTCTGTACGCTTTCCCTTTGGTGCTTTATATAAATTATTTTTATCCTTCTTATTCTCTGCGTTTCTCTGACTTTGCGCCCGGCTCCCACTCCCTATCCTTGGCGAATTCTCTGCGCTCGTCACTACTTTTCGCGCTTTTCAGCCACTGCTACCTGCGACGCTCTACACGGGCCACGAGGCTGCTTGACATCGTGGCTGGTCGAAGGGCTTGGCCACCCACGCACCAGCGTATTAACCTCGTGGCATCAGTAACTGGTTAAGTCGAGCTGTCAACTAGTCTATCCTCTCGATTATAACGGCGGGTTAGCCAAAACCCCGTTATAATGTGTAAAAAATCAGTAAAAATAAAAATTAATCAGCATTATTATATAATATACACTTTTCAATATCATTGAATAGGAAAAAACTATGATTAATGTTGATCTTCTTGCACTTGTCAATAGCAGTAAGCATGATAATTTTGACAAATCAATTGTTCCTATTTACTTGAACTCACAATAGCTTTTTCATTTCCTCTATACTCTCTTCAGTCATCGCTCGCTCCATTGCAGCTTCTGAACATCTCTCTTTTGCAACAAATTCTATAATAGGGCCAATGATTTGTTCATGTTTTTTAAATGTCTGAGAATTGATGCTTGGAAGCTCCATAACAGTAAACAATTCAGACAGATGAGTTTGTCCCATGCCGGTATGGATAGCTCCTAAAATAAAATTTTGAATTAGTAATTCAATCACAAGAAAAAGTGTATGCAGGTTAAACTCTAAAAAAATATGTATGTATAACCTAATGCAGCTTTTGTATTAATAGAAAAAACTGGTTGTCCACTTGACGGGTTTATGTATTGCCGAGAAGACTTTATTGTCTCCACATGTAAACACATGCGACATCGAACGGACAGATACGAGCCCAGGCCGCTACGTTGTTCTTTTTCAATATCTGATATAAACAATTCTGAAGAACACTTGGAGCAGACCAATTGCTCAGCCATATAATCCAAATCAACAATTCTATTGCCCTTGATTAGATTTGAACGAAGATTAGCCGCCTCTTTGCGTTTAGCTGCCTCTTCTCGTTCTGCTGCTAGTTTCTTTAGGCGATTTCGAGCATTTTTGGATCTACTACAAAGTGCCTGGTACCCTTGTTTACTTACAAAACGTCCTTTCCACTTATAGTTTGACATTTTATTTGTTTATACGTGGACGCAGACTCTAAGTAAATAAGAAGAGGAGAATCAGGTTATGTTGTATACTTGTATAGTGACTGTTTTGCGCAGTAACACACATATTCAATGGGAGAAGGGCTGCCAACTGTTACGTGTAAGCGACGTTACCACATTTTCGTGTGTATTATGCCATTAAAATTACTTGATAATACGTTTATAAAAATTGAATAAATATTACCTGCTTGTATAAAACACATTTTCATGCACTTTTATTCATATATTCCATGGCTAATAAAAATCTAGAGATAATCAAAATTTTATTATCTTAAGTTGGTATTGATGACCCTCTTACGTGTTAAAGCATAGGGTACCCCTCTGCCCCTTCACCCCCCGAAAGACACTTATAAACTACCTTAAACGTGGCGAGTTTCCGCTGTCGTACTCCTTAAGAACCACACCTTTAGTCGTTTGAAACAAACGATTTCGAGGAATTTCAATGTTTATTGTCTGATTTTTTTATTAACTAAATGTTACGGTATAATCGCAGGTTTGTATTGTTAACATTTATTATACTTATTAGCAGCGTAAGTTACGCCTGTCGCATACTATAATAACCACCACTACAGCCATTTTATATAATTAATTTCGTAGAATATTAGTTTTTATTGTAACATTTATTATAATAATTACTGTAAGAAAATATATAAAAAATGAAACATTATTTTTCTTGTACATGAATTAATACCTACTTTTGCATAATTTTTACTCAATTAGTGAATATCAAATCGGTATAAAATTACAAAAGATATTTATTCTTCTTATAAAATTGCTATGACCGGTTATTGTGAAATTAAGATAAACGCTATCGAATTGGCTGATGCAGTGCTCATGTTTTTATTTTATTCTAACCCAATCCAACCTAATATAATGAAAATAAATAAATCGCAATGTCAAACTTTTGACAAAATTGGTATAGCTATAAAAAAAAATATTTTTAATCATGAATAGCCTTATCTAGCCATGTCTCGGATTTGATATTGAGATCCTCTCATACATTATCTTGATTATATCGAAGAGGAAATATAAGTGCGCAGCGTCAACGTGGTACACGGCCTATATAGCGCCATATTGTCCTATTTTGTGAATTGGTCAATATGCTGTTTCCATGGTGAAGATATAAAAAAATTATAATAATTATAAGTACTTTATAATAATTTTATTTTTATTTATTTTTACATTATTTTCGGTATGATATTATTATCTGTAAAACCAAAGAAATAAAATATATTATTTTCGCTATCGGGTATGAACTTATATATATATAAACAATTCATACTCACATTTGAATTGGTCTGCTCCGCTATGCACCAGTACTGGCCTTCCAGTATTGCGCTTGTGTTTTCTAGTACCATGAGGAACGTCTTTCTGCAGAAAGTTACTAAAAAATGAAAATTATTATATCTTGTTATTGTAAAAATGTTATATATATATATATATATATATATATTGTAACGGGGTAAAACCGTTTAATTATTTTAATCGCGCGATTATACTAAAAGGACGCGCGTAATTATTTATTCTCAATACGTAAATCGGAGAGCATGTGGAAACGTGCGTCAGTCAACCAATAAGTCTTCTAATCTGGGAAAAGTGAGTGGAAGCTATACGAAAAGAGCGAGTCAAAATTACTTGTTAATAACACGGACGGAGCCTTTTATTATCATTCCAGTACTACACAAAGTCGGCCCGCGCGTTTGTTTACATTGACGTTCGCTCATCGACAGCACGCTTTGCCGGTACGCTCGCTGCTCTTTGTTATTAGAGTCGCCGCACGCTCGTTTCGGATGTCGGGAATTAATAATCAATCATGTAACCGCGATCGCGAAATTAAGCTGGCCAGCTTACCTTATAATAGCAGGCGATCGAAGGAAGCACAGACAAACCGCACAACGCAGAACAGTTTCTAATTGTTTGTCGCCGGTCGCGACCACGCGCGCACGGATATGGTTTCGCCCTCGATGGCGAAACCTCACACACACACTCGTCCTGGCCTCGAACTGGTAGCTGGATGGCACCTTGGCGGCTGCGATTGTAGATGGCTAGATGTTGCTGCTCTGGATATTCCACTGGCGATTCAACTCAAACGGCACTCGGATTAACAACGGCGAAACAGCAAAGACGAACGGGCGTGTTGACGGTTGACGCTTCACTAGTTCGGTTTCAATCGCGCGCGTTCCGTCTGCTCGCGTGCCGAATTCCTTAGTTACGAATTTCGTCCCCCCGGCAGGTGCTGCCCTCACAGGCAGCAATTAAGCTAAATAATCAGCGCTAATTTGACGTTTACCGTCACAATATATATAATATACCGCGCATGAGTGTGTGCGTGTCTGTGAGTTAAACAACATGATAAAGTCAATAACCGTGATCCAGAAATCCGTCGTTTTGCCTGTGTTTGAACCCTGGTATCTCGGAACCCAGCCATAGGCGAGCTTTGGACCCATGTAGACATTTAATCTACATGATATTAGCTACCTTTTCCCAAATTTTAGGAACATTTGACAGAAAGTTTTTTTCCATAACGTTTGTGCAGGGTCCTTTCCCAAAAACCTGAACTACTGTTTTTGAAAAAAAATTTTTTTTTATTCTTTACATTAATTTGAAAAATCAAGAAAAAAAGGATATTTGGTGGCTTTTGGGATAATCAAGCGCTAAGTTGGAACTATCGAGAAACCCAGAAATGTTAAGAGTGTCTTTTACAGTTCAATATGCCCACAAAAACCCCACAACGTTTCAATTCAATCGTTCAAGCCGTTTTTCGTTTTATTCAATTGAATTTTTGAAAAAAATTAAAGAATCACAATTCTTCATGTGTATACGCTTCATGTGTGTTTTTTTTAGGAGAAATGAGACCCGAAGGCTCGTCAGTTCCTCCGTAGTTAATGACTCCAAACTCATTCTCCTAAGAATGTGTGTGTGTGTGCGTGTGTGTGTGTGTGTGTGTGTGTGTGTGTGTGTGTGTGTGTGTGTGTGTGTGTGTGTGTGTGTGTGTGTGTGTGTGTGTGTGTGTGTGTGTGTGTGATGAAGAAAAAACATTTTTCAAAAAAAGCATTTCAATTCTTTTAATAACGGATATTGCCCCCCCTCCCAGTTCTCAATAACGGCTGCCAATCGTTCAGTCATATTAATGCAGCGGGCAATCTGGGGTTGCAGAATGGTGTTCCAAATTTGCAGAAGTGCACGCTCTAATACGGCCAAGTTGTACAAATTTGGATACTCTCTGCGCACACGACGGCCCAATATGTCCCAAACATGCTCGATAGGATTGAGGTCTGGACTCATTGGTGGGTGCCGCAGCAATGTGATGTCATGTCGTTCTAAAAAGCATCTGGTGATGTTGGCTATGTGTGGACGTGCGTAATTTTGCATTAGAATAAACGCCGTCTGATGTTGTCGTCTGCGCAGTACAATCGGTCTCAAAATTTGGTCAATGTAGCGCTGAGCTGTTGAGTTTTCGCGTACAATCAGCAGAGGTGTTCTCCAATTTCGTGAAACGCCGCCCCAGACCATGATTGATCCACCGCCGTAGGCAACAATCGGACGAACAAAATTCTGGCGAAAAGGTTCTCCACGATAACGCCAAACAAGGGGTGGTCGGTCGCTTCCATGAAGGACGAACCGGGATTCGTCAGTAAATAAAACATTTCCCCATTGTCTTAATGTCCAAGCCCGATGTACATTAGCATATGCTAAGCGTCCTCTGCGATGTCTCGCTGTCAAAAGGGGTACACGATTAGGATGTTGTGCATTTAACTTAATTTCGCGAAGACGTTTGATTACTGTTCGGGAAGAAATGTTTCGCACTTGATGCCGCTGTCGATGTCTTTGTCGCTGCTGTACCCGATTTGGGAAATTTCTTGCCACGATATTCGCATTGATGAAAGGATCCTGACACTCCTATTTCGGTGTTTAGGCGTAAGAAGTATACGAGGTGTGTACAAAAAGTAAGGTGACTTTTCAAATTTCACGGGCAACGTACTTTCGATTATCGATTTTTTTGTTTTGTTATGTTGGTACACTCTTCCCGAACATCTGTACCAAGTTTCAAGTGTATAGCATTTTTTTTTGGTTGTGAGAGGCGTAAAGGTTATAAGTGTTTTGCGTACTCGGCGATTTCTTACTATCGAAAAATATGGATCAAAGGATTTGCATCAACTTTTGTGTAAAAACTAAAATAAAGTGCTCCGAAACACTTGAAATGTTGACGGTGGCATACGGTGAAACTGTTCTGAGTAAAAAATATTAAAACAGCCTGTATGTATGACTATCACAGAGGTAAAAGGGAAACATATATTTAGGAGTTAAGAAGAAAAAAAAAAGGATTATAAGTACATTTGTCTAATGTATAAGTTGGTAATCAGGGAGAGCGACAGCAGCGCCACCATTATATGTTTTCTTCTGGATATGGCATGTATGCTAGCTGTGAGTCGAGCCTATGATCTCGTGTCGGTCGGAGCATTGCCGGTTCTCTCTACGATTGAGTACTAAGAGGGATATATATATATATATATATATAGATGTATATACATATATGTAAATACATACAGGGTGTTCCAGACCACCCGTACACCCCCTCTAGAATCCAAAATAATGGATTAATCAAAAACTGCTTCAGACAAAAGTTGCTGGGCTTCGAGGGGGACATATCCGTACGACCTTGGCTTTGACCTTGGAGGTCATGTTCAAGGTCATTTCAAGGTCAACTTTATTTTTTTAAATAGGAACCCCCATTTTTGACCCCGGATTCGGAAAGAGCGGGAAATTTTACGTCCAAAACGGTATTTTTAAATTTTTTTTTCATGGCCTTGAGAAGGTCGATTTAAGGTCAAATGCTTGAAAAACTGCCAAAAAGCGTTTTTTTAATTTTTAAGATATCGAAAAATGACCTCTACAAAATTTGTTCAGAATAGAGTGGGCCACCCAATGCACCAAAAACCTTTGACCTTTAACCTCATTTTGAA